GTTTATGTCACTGCTGTGCTATTGCTATTTGAAACATTACATTGGGTTACGTAACAGTAAAAAAAAATAAAACTTTCTGCCTAAGAACATTATCAAGAACACTATGTTATATGCAACCTTGCCTGGCAATAAAGAGATGAACTAGATGGTACTCTAGTCCCATGTTCTTATATTCTAGTTACATTACTCCACATAGAACAGCTGTTTCTTTCTTTCTGTTGAAAGCATGAGTATTTCTGCTCCAGAACTGACAGACTAATTTAGTTCACATATCAAAAATGTAATTCTAGAAAATATCTACCACCTTTTAAAATACTTGTATAACGTATCATTTTAAAAATACAAAAATTTTCAAAAGTCAGAGGCCTTTTTGGAGAAACTGAAGGAAAGAATTACTATCCTAAGTAACTGGTAAGGACCAGGTAATGAATTTTATAGTAAATCCACAACCTTCTGGATATCAATCATGTAAAATAAATACTGGTAGTGAAACAGAAGCATGAGGATAACAAGTTTCACTCACGTGTAGCCAGTGTAATTTAAGAGTATGCCGGGCAGAATGGTAGCAAAATACATGATCTACCTGGAAGCCAAGGCTAGAGGATGCTAATCTCAACTCAGCAGGTGAATCATTGTATGACCTTGGGAAAATTAATTAGCTTTGGTTTTTCTGCCTATAAAGGCAAACAGTAATAAGCAGACACTTCTAGAATAAATCTTAAAAATTTGAGAGAGAGAGAGAAGGAGGAGGAGGGAGAGAGGAAGAGGAGGGGAGAGAAGAGGGGGAGAGAGAGAGAGAGAGAGAAAGAAAAAAACAGACACGGGGAAGTTGCAAGAATGAAAAGATGCTGAATGACTGTTCTGGGCTATACTAAAAGAAATAATAGTATGTTTGCTTCATGAAGCATAAAGCCTAAGTCAAAATATATTAATACAAGCAAATCAGGTACCATTATATGTTTAGCATTCATGACAAACAAATACTTTGTTGGAGATGAAGTGAAACCACCATCCCTTCTCTTAGATTTATACAAATAGATACAGAAAGAATATTCTAACATTCCAAATAATTCAAGAGATGCATATATTAGGCCTTGCCTCTGTGGCAGGCACTGGGAATGTGATGGTAAAAGAGACAGACACATGGTCCCTGCCTTCATCAAACTGATGAGCTAGACCAAACATAAGCAAACAAAATAATTACAACTGGAAAATAAGTACTATGAAGAAAGTAAGGAAATGAACCATAAGGATATCTGAGGGATATCAAAGGGAAGAGTATTCCAGAAAAGAGGAACAGCAAGTACAAAGGACCTGAGACAAGACTCATTTGGCACTGTAACAAAGTTTATGGGAGACCATTGCTTGGGACTAACCTTCTGCACTAGGCCCTAACAGGCCAAAATAAACTAGAATGAAGTCACGTGTGCTAAGTGACATTATCAAACTGAATTCTGAAATAGGCCAGTTTTCCAAAAATAGGAGATTCACAGCAACCAATCAGAAGAGGCCTAGTTTACCTGAGCTGGCATGACAAGGAAGTACCTGTTTTAACCCTTTAAAGTAAGTAAGTAACTACCATCTGCTTTCTTCAGCCCTTCTCTGCCTATAAAGCAACCTCCTCTGCTCAGTCCATTGGAACACTCATTGTATTTTATAGATTCTAGAATTGCAAATGAAAGCCAATTAGATATTTAAACTAAATTTTTTATAATGTTGTCTTTTGACAGACATGTACAGGGACAGTAAGAAGGTTAGTGGGCTAGGGTAGAATAAATGACAGGGCAGTTCATTGAAAATGAGATGGAAAGATAGCAGAAAGGCAGATCAGTGGTATCTCCTAGGCCATGGTAAGGGCTTTATGCTGGAGAATGGAAAGTCTGTGACTAGCTGACAAGTTACACAGCAGGTAGACTCAGAACTAAAAAACTGATTGCCTGACTTGAATTCCACTAACCTTTCCCTTGGACCCCATGATTTTTAACAGCAAGTTTTATTTTTTACCACAAAGCCACTTAGAGTAGGGGAGAGAAGAGGTTGGATTGATTGGGTTTTAAGGTTTTCGTTTTTAAAATTATTTTGCTTTTAAAAAATTGACATACATGGAATACAAATAAAAAGTAACTGAAGGGCCGAGTGCTGTGGCTCAGGCCTGTAATCCTAGCACTCTGGGAGGCCAGAGCAGGAGGATCACTTGAGCTCAGGAGCTTGAGACCAGCCTGAGCAATAGCGAGATCCCCGTCTCTACCAAAAATAAAATATTAGCCAGGACTATGCCTGTAGTCCCAGCTACTGGGGAAGCTGAAGCAGGAGGATTGCTTGAGCCCAGGAGTTTGAGGTTGCAGTGAGCTATGATGACACCACTGCACTCTACCCAGGGTGACAGAGTGAGACTTTGTCTCTCACACATACACATAAAAAAAAAAGGGACTGAAGGTTTTTGAGTGTAGAGAAAGTCTCTTTCCCCCTCTGATCCCAGCCACCAGTTCGCTTCCCTTCCCACTAGTTTTCTGTGTGGCTTTGAAGAAGCTGGATTTCAAGAAGACATTCAATCACCAATAGTTACTGAAAGTCAGAGGGGACCTAATAGACTAAGATGCAATCTCTCCCTCTCAGACTCTTTTGTCTGAAAACACAAAAAGTCTTAAGGTTTGATTCACAAACATAAGGCAAAATAAGGCCTCAAGATAAATGAGGATGGGCTGGGTGCAGCGGCTCAAGCCTATAATCCTAGCACTCTGGGAGGCCAAGGCAGGAAGATCACTTAAGCTCGGTCAGCAGTTCAAGACCAGCCTGAGCAAGAGTGAGACCCCGTTTAAAAAATTAGCTGATCCCAGCTACTGGGAAGGCCAAGGCAGGAGGATCACTTGAGCCTGGGAGTTTGAGGTTGCTGTGAGCTATGATGACACCACTGCAGTATGCCTGGGGAGACAAAGTGAGATTCTGTCTCAAAAAAAAATAGATAAACAAGGATAATTTTCAATTGTAAAATTGAAATTCACATTGTCTTTAAAATATCATAAGAGGTGCAGAGGCCATAAAAGTCAACAGGTTTGGGGGCAGACTAACATGCATATTCCAAATATGAAAACTCCTGAAAATAGCTTGATGTTCTTCACTAGTTCAGCCCTGCTTGCTCAAAAACAGTAAATTAGTGGGAAATGTCTTAAATTATTTTACGAAATTTATGTAAGAAAAAATGAAATTATATTTCAGGTGTGTCCTTTGAATTTTGTACCAAGTGAATGTATTATTTACAAATACATATGTTTGTTTAGCTGGGTGTGATGGCTCGCGCCTGTAGTCCCAGCTACTCAGGAGGCAGAAGCAGGAAGATCACTTGAGCAATTTGAGGAGTTTGAGGTTGCTGTGATCATGTCACTGCACTCTACCCAGGGTGACAGACTAAGACTCTGTCTCAAAAACAAACAAGCCGGGCGCAGTGGCTCACGCCTGTAATCCTAGCACTCTGGGAGGCTGAGGTGGGCGGATTGCTCGAGGTCAGGAGTTCGAAACCAGCCTGAGCAAGAGCGAGACCCATCTCTACTATAAATAGAAAGAAATTAATTGGCCACTAATATATATATAAAAATTAGCCGGGCATGGTGGCGCATGCCGTAGTCCCACTACTCGGGAGGCTGAGGCAGCAGGATTGCTTGAGCCCAGGAGTTTGAGGTTGCTGTGAGCTAGGCTGACGCCACGGCACTCACTCTAGCCTGGGCAACAAGCGAGACTCTGTCTCAAAAAAACAAACAAACAAAAAGACAAATACATATATATTTTAAATAGGGTATACCTTTTTACTTTTTTTTTAAATGGACTGAAGATTGGTGGAGGGGAATAGGGCTCCTGCCTTCAGTCCACAGGAAGAAAGGCAGCTGGGGCGTGGAAGAAAGGATTCCAGGGCAGAAGGCAGGAGTCCCAGGATTCTAATACTGGATCCCCATGACTAGTGTGGAACTTTGAAACAGTGATTCCTCCCCCCAGGTCTCAGTTAAATCATCTGTCAAATGAGGATGATCACATCTTCCCTACTTCACCACTGGGCTGTGAGATGAACCAGAGCCCCTACCTTTTTTCCCTGATGACCTCCTACTCATCCCTGGAGCATCAATTCAAATGTCATCTCCTCCATGAAGCCTTTCATTACTTTCCCAGTCATACGGAGTTAGTGGCTCCTATCTCTGGTTAAAACAGAAATGTCTGTAGCATTCTCCTGTTTCCTTGCATTGTCCTATTTCTTTCAATTTCTCCCACAGCCAGGAAGATCACAGAGTGAGAAGCTCCTAAGGGGCCACCAGTTCACAATTAGCCATTCAATAAATACTTCCGTAATGAAGGATGAATGAATGATAGCGTTTCTTGGCCACATTTGTATGTACTTTTTACATTGATTCTGCAAAGACTGTAAGTCTCTCTTTCTAGTAAAAGGGTCCTGGGATATAAAATCATACGCAACAATTCAATATTTAGTGTTATTTTGATGAAACACGGTGGGGGGGTTGTTGTTGTTTTCATTTTGAGGCGGGGTTCTCCTATGTTGCCCAGGCTGGCCTAAACTTCTGGCTGGAACAATCCTCCCACCTCCACCTTAGCCTCCTGAGTAGCTGGGACCGCAGACACATGCCACCCCGCCAGAAGTGGTGTCTTTTAATAAAAGAAAACGTTGCTTTTTGACAAATCTAGGAGATAGACACCCCTAATAATCTCCACGACTTGTTTTATTTTTCACCTAGTACCTGGCTTTATTTTTATTTTTGGAGACACAGTCTCACTCTGTCGCCCGGGCTAGAGTGCCGTGGCGTCAGCCTAGCTCACAGCAACCTCAAACTCCTGGGCTCAAGCGATCCTCCTGCCTCAGCCTCCCGAGTAGCTGGGACTACAGGCATGCGCCACCATGCCCGGCTAATGTTTTCTATATTATTTTTAGTTGTCTAGCCAATTTCTTTCTATTTTTAGTAGAGACGGGGTCTTGCTCTTCCTCAAGCTGGTCTCCAACTCCTGAACTCGAGCGATCCTCCCACCTCGGCCTCCCAGATACCTGGCTTTTAAATGCCTTAAAATGCTCAACAGATGTTTGCTACAGGAATGAATGATGTATTCCATGCTTGAAATAATGCAAGACAAACTCAAGCCTTCAGGCTTTCTTCCCAGGACTGGACGTAAATCTTTATGTGGGATCCAGATGAGGAAAACAAGGAGCAAATGTGGCTAGCAAGACATTCCTGAGTGGCACCAACCAGATTAGTTTGGTTGTTTTCAAATTTTTCTTTCAGAAACCACCAAACTGTTAATGGTGATGATGTAGAGATATTTGGGATCTGGGGTAATTTTCGGGGTTCCCCCCACACTCGCTTTTCAGTGCTTTCTAAATCGCCCGTGGATCCCTGCATTTCCAAAGCGGTGTTTCTGTTCTGTGGCCCCAGGTCCTTCCGGCGCGAGCGAGAGTCAGGCGCCGCGTCGGTCTCCAGCCTCCGCCGGGCAAGAGCTCGGAAAACGAGCAGACAGCCCCAATGCCGGCACCGGACGTTTCAGCTCCAGGAGAGAAGAGCCAGAGCTCCAGCCGATAGCTCAGCCGCGCAGCAGAGGACACCGCCCGGAGAGCTGGGCCAATAGGACCTGACGACGCCGGAACCCGGTGCCTGGGGCGTCTGCGCGGCGGAGCCAAATGGCCGCCGTACCACACCGCCGCGATACCCGGCGGAGAGGAGGAAGTCGATGGGACTGACGCGGCTGGGGGAACTTTGCCTCGATGGCACTTTCCTGTCCGTGACTCCGCCCCCGCCAGAGGGGCTCGGCTCCGGGATTCAAGATGGAGTCGCTGAGTCGAGCTGGGCAGGAGATGAGCCTGGCGGCCCTGAAGCAACATGACCCCTACATCACCAGCATCGCAGACCTCACGGGCCAGGTCGCTCTGTACACCTTCTGCCCCAAGGCCAACCAGTGGGTGAGTGCGGCCTGGCCGCTGAGGACGCCCGCCTGGCTGCCGCCGCCTCTTAAAGGGGCCGCGCGGGCTGCCTGAGGTTGGGGGGAGAAGCAGGAGGCCAGGCACTGGCGAAGAACGCGGCTGGAGCCTGTGGGGAGTCGAGGGCGCCCGGGATTGGGGAATAGAAATGAGAGAAGTAGGTCCGAGATATCCCAGGGGAAAGCTGATGGAGGGGAGGGTTGGAGCTGGATCAGTCCCTCGGGGTCGGGTCTGGGGACGTGGGCGTCCTGCCTTCTTTGCTGATGCGTTGGAGAATATGAGACCGACAGGGTCAGAAAGATACCTGAAAGCTTGTGTTTGAGGCTTTGCGGATTATTAGATAAATTGCACATGATCTACAAAATAAACACTCCTCCACTCCCCCCAACGTACATAAATGAGAGCCCCCTTCGCAGAGGTCATTTGGATTTAAAGCTTGAAATCCAATTAGTTTCAGTTCTTGGAAGAGGGGGGTTGGGTGGGTCCCACTTTAATCGAACTACACTGTTCTTCCAAAGTTTTAGAAAAAATTTCAAGGCACTTAGGAAAAGGGCTTCCATGTTAATTGGATTCCCTGAAGACCTTTTATAGGACTGAGAGACCCTGTAAATGTGTTTTGTTCCACCTATGATGCTGGTGATGTCACCCATCAGACTAAGTACCTTTTGGCTTTTGTGCACGAGAGGATGTCTGAAAAGTTACATTCAGTCTCTTCTCTGACTGTTCAGCTCCTTGAAGCTTCATTAGTTGTTTAAATAACATAATTTCCCATTTTCTTGCAAGTGACTCTTACTAATTAACTTGTCTAGTTATATGCTTTACACTTAGAAGATAATCCGTAAATGTTTGTTGGGTTGAATTTACCAATGACTGGGATTCACATTTCAATAAGAAATGAAATCTTTAACAAAACTCTTAAGAGTATTGTGATATATTCTTTACGGTATAATCCACATGCATAGATTTATACTTATCAGTAATTTTGTGAAAATCATTTGGCGTTTATAAACCGTTAATTCAGAGGAGAGTTTTCATAATCGTTTTATCTTTCCTTCACCTGGAAGAGAAGGAAGTATAGGAAGCCACAAAGAGTAAAATTATAGATTGTTTTATAATTGTAGCCGTTTTAGATGTTGACTTAGTTTGAAATTTTCTGATTCTTTTTTCTTTTCTTAGTCTATATATAAATTTGTGAAATGGATTTAAAATTTTTAAATTATAGAGTTCTATTTTAAATATGAAATACAAGCTTAATAACTTGTTGAAAAATAAACAAAACAAGTTGCTATTGTTTATTTGGATCATGGTACATAGAGCATAACTAAATTCTTTTTTCTCCAATATTTTACAGTGAGTTGTAATTTTGCAGTTGTAATGTTTTGGGGGGGCAAGTTTCCTTTTACTGTGAGACATTTGATTACCAATTTCTTATACTAATAACATTTAAAGCCAAGAAAAAGCTTCTGAATCCTGAGGAAGGAAAAGTTTCATAATGATACTTAAGCTAGAGCAATACTTGTGGAAGAAATCAAGATGATAAATTAAAAAAAAATTTTTTTATCCCAACAAGTTCAATTTGATATGACTAACATTTAAAGTTTTAATAGTTTGTGGATTACGTAAAATATTTAGGTCCAGTCTAGGCTGTGAACTACAAACTGATAAAGTTATTTATTTTTCCAAAAACAGTATCACTATGTTTAAAACCTAAATACACTCTTGTAACAGCAAATGAAAGATGGTAATAAGTTGTACTTTCCTAATTAAAACATTTTCACTTTAAACTAAAAAATATTTTAAATTATTTGTAAGATCTGTAATAATTACATTAAAGCAGAGTATAGTTTCAGTATTCGTGGTTCTTTATCAAGATCTAAAAATAATAAACTAATGTATTGGATAGTAGTACTTAACTAACCACAAAATTTGCTACATTTGAAAATATCAAAATCCCCCATTGGTGAAACAAAGTATCCTATTAGAAAATTTCCTTTTTCTTTTTTTATTAACCTTGATAAACTTTAAAAGTGAAGAAATTGCTATACACAAGACCTTGGCTTTAAAATTAATAAATCTAGCTAAAATATTTTAGCTTTAAAAAGTGAAAGGTAATTCTATGATTTTCTCCTTTACTAATTAAAAAAAAGAAAGAAAAACACTGCAGATATAGACATGTTGCCAGATTGAACATTGCACATGCTTATGTATGCATCAGTAGCATTAAAAGGGTACATGAGAAACTGGTAACAACAATTAGTGGAATGAGACTAAGACCTACTTTACCTGTTCAAAAGTGATCAGTTTTATAATAAATAAAACAAATTGATCTTAGATATCAAACATTTTCTCTTTATTGGGACTATTTGGGCTTGGATTATGGGGAAAAAACTAATTGACTTATTGTCTATTATAGGAGAAGACTGATATAGAAGGGACCTTATTTGTATATCGAAGGTAAGTTTTTAAAATACATATATTTATTTTTTAAAAATCTAATGGTGAATGATGTCAAATGGTTCAGTTCTGTTGTACATTTGTCTTTGGAACATTTCCACTTGTCCCCTTCAAGTTTTTATCTATCCCTAGCTGTGGGATCCTAACCACATTATTTCTCTTCTCTGAGCATGCCTGTGATTGAAAGTAAAAAGAATTCAAACTTATTTAGGAGCCTAGCAAAACCGATTGAAAATAGAAAGTATTTTCTTGTAATGAATCAGTCTAAAATAGATGCCTGCCTACTCCCCCCATATTAAAAAGAAAAAAGATATATATTTGAGAAAAAGATAATGCATAGACTAGCTATATAAAACAATGTAGTTGAGAGGTCAGTCCCTCTGTTCTGTGATTACTAAATTAGTGCTATATAAAATAATGTAGCTGAGAGGTTGGTCCCTCTGCTCTGCAGTTGCTAAATGGGAGCTTGTTTTTTATGACTGGTTCTGTCCCCTTTCTATCTTTCCAAAAATGTTCTGGATTGTGTACAGTGTCTTTAGTAATATGTATTTTTAGTTTATTTGAGAGTTTTTTTAAAAGCCTAGATTATTCATAATTGTACATTTTTTATTTTCAACTACTCTGAGAATTAATTATCTTAAAATGTGTTTGGTTTGCAAATTACAACTTTGTTCTGTGAATCAGCTTTTAGGGCCTGAAGGCAACTGACAGGATGTGATAGTCATGAGGTACTTGTTGTTTGGATCCCTCTAAGGTCTTGCTCTGTTGGGGGTGGATGCCTTCCCTTGTTTTCTAAAGCTTAGAAAGTCTGCAGGAGTTATTACTGACTTCTAGTCTTTCCCATTTTCCTGTATTGGGTAGTCTTTAAGGATTACCTTTCTCTTTTGATGCCACTTTAAAAGAATTTCTCAAATATTCTTCTAAATTTTGGTGTAAAGCTTTGACATCCTGTCTAAACACACTCATTTTTTCTTCTTTTAAGTGTAATTATTTGTACACCAAGCTCTTCTTTTTTTTTTTTTTTTGACACTTTGTTCCTGTTATTTATCTTTCTCCTTTTAAAAAAGGGATGGTCCTTCCTTATCTTTACCCTCTTCATTACTCTTCATTAGCAATATAAATCTCTAGAAATTCATTAACTGTTAATAGAAGCTTGGGTTCTATGATATTTGGAATTTGGCTTTACTGTTAAAGTGTAGTACAGATACACCAATGGTAGAAAATGTGAGATTTAGTGTAGTGAATAGTTTTATTTAATATAATTCATGGAGGCTGACATGGTATTGATTCTAATAAAAGGAGATGCAAGAAACTCTTATTTGGAAAATGCAATAACATTGTATGTATCTTGGATAAAGTTATACCAGGATGTCAGACTAAGGACCCTAGATTTGGAGTCAGAAATCTAAAGCTAAATCCTAGTTACATTATTTGTGTGACTTCAGGCACAGGCTTTAATCATTCTAAGCTTGTTTCCTAATCTGTAGAATAGGATTCTGTTATTTCCCCATGTACATCACCGAGAAACAAACGAGAAATTGTGAAGTGTTAGATACATGTGAGGAGTGTCTAAAGGATCCTGTACTGAATCCCTCCCCCCATAGGGGAACCAAGGATATTTCTTATTGTTAGACCTAAGGCATTTTCCATCTAACTCAGGAGAACTATGTAAAGACCTATTTGGTGCAGGAAAAATCATTGTTGCAATGGTGGACAGTCATTATAGCCAATCCTGTACCACATTTAAAATGAATGATATTTCATTCAGCAACTGTGTGTCTGTCTTAGGATATATCTGTGAAAAAAATAAGGCAAAAATCCTTATTTGCATGAAGCTTATGTTTTAGTGGCAGAGGTAGTGACAATAAATATTAAAAATAAGTGGTATGGATAAAGAGAGGAGGGTTGGAGATTATTGAGCTTGGGAGCAAGTTGGGAGTATTAAAAGGGTGGTTCAGGTAGGCCTCATTGAGAAGGTGATATTTGAGCAAAGGTTTGCAAGAGATGAGATAGCTGTGCAGATTCTGGGCAGTGGTCCAGGCAGAGGTCTTTAGGTAAAAGCACACCTGCAGAGAGAGTGGCTAGGAGTCCCAAGTGGCTGGAGCAGGGAGAGCAAGGGAAGAGGTATAGGAGATGAAGTCAGAGGAAGAGCTTATCAGGTAGGGCATCGTTGGCCTTAGTAAGGACTTTGGCCTTTATGCTGAGCAACTGAGTTCTTGAAGACTTCTGAGCAGAAGAGGAGTATGATCTGACTTAAATTTTCTGTTTCTGCTTTTAAGTGCTGCTAATATTGTATAATGTACTAATGTGTTAATATTTGTTCTTTTTTGAAATGAAAATAAAGTACATCGTAGGTAACATTTCTGCAGATTAAATGGTAATGACAGGCCAGGCGTGGTGGCTCATGGCCTGTAATCTTAGCACTTTGAGAGGTTGATGTGGGAGGATTGCTTGAGGCCAGGAATGTGAGACCAGCCTGAGCAAGAGCAAAAAAAATAGAAAAATTACTCAGCCATGGTAGCATGTATCTGTTGTGCCAGCTCCTCGGGAGGCTGAGGCAGGAGGATCTCTTGAGCCTAGGAGTTTGAGGTTGCAGTGAACTATGATGATGCCACTGCGCTCTAGCTCTAGCAACAGAATGAGACCCTGTCTCAAAAAAAAAAAAAAAAAATAGTAACTACAGATTTTGTTTTCTTCTATTAAATTTAAGGTCAGCTTCACCTTACCATGGTTTTACCATTGTGAATCGACTGAATATGCACAATCTAGTTGAACCAGTGAATAAAGATTTGGAATTTCAGCTCCACGAACCATTTCTTCTTTATAGAAATGCAAGCTGTGAGTATATCTGTTTTATTATAGTTAATATATTTACATTTAAAATTGAGTGACTTTAGTTTCATCAGTACATTATTTTTAGAGTTTCAAATTACAGTACAAAATATAGTCTATATTCTCTTTTGTGATTATAAATGATTCTCTTAGATCAAACCTTTCAAACTGGGCTCCAAAATTGAAAACACCCTTTTATATATAATATGTTATTTTAGTTATATGATCTCATTTAATAGCATTATATTTCTGTTGGTTGTTTATGAAAATAAGTTTTACTAGCTCTGAACTATTGGCTGCATCCCTGAACAATAGAAATTAGTTTTGGAGACATAGGATGGGGACAGATACTGATAATTCTTTCCACAAAGAAAGTACGATCTTTGCCCTGAGTAGTAGGGTTTCTCAATCTGTTTATTTAGTTGGATGTCTACTGGATACTTTAATGCTAATGATACAATAACCTATATGGGTTAGGAAGGCAGTTAAAGCAACTGAGACTTAGAGATGTGTGACAGATATTTAGTTAATGAATTAGGATTATAGCTGTTTTTCTGCTTCCTAGTCCAAGGTCTTTTGAGGCATTTTACAGACTCTCATAATGATTGGATGCAGTCAGAAAGGCCAGAGTGGCCCTTTCAAAAAAATACAGTACTAAAACTATACTTGGTTCTAGTATGTTAGGGTGGGTATTGAAGGTATGGGTGTTTGAGAACAGAAGGCGATCATTTTGTTTGGCATTAACTGAGGGATAACAAAACTGGTTATGATAACAGAATAATTGTGCAGTAATCATCCTCTAAGGATATTGTTGGAAAAATGTTGCTTCCAACTTATAAAGCAAAAGTTAATGTGTTTGAATTCACTTGACTGGGAGGTAATTGGTATTGAGGGATGTCTTTGGTATAAAATATAAAAAACTACTAGATACTATACATCTCTTATCCCCTGAATGAGAAGTAGCAAGATCTATTTTTATAGCTAGAAACCTCAAATTCTTCCTAGTTCACTTTTAAGTATCTAAGTGAAATAGGATCTCTTGACTTTTCAGTAAACTATTTGTCCAAATAATCACCTCTCAAATTTCAAATTTTGTGGACATATTGGAAATGTTTTTTAGTTTGCATGGATTTATTTAAACTAATGTTAACAGTAGAATTATTTCAGATGGCTATTTTCTTTGTACTGAACATTCCATTATGGGGAAATTCTGTAACATATACAGATCCAATTTTTTAAAAGGTGAAATTGGCTTAATCCTGTTCTTTACTACCTGGAAACTTAATCTAGCTATTGCTCCTAAGAAAAGTTTGATTATTAAAAAGTAGTAGGGAAAATTATCAAGATATTCATGGGCCTAATTACCATTTGGCATAAGCCTGAAGTGAATTGTATTTTATTTCTTTTACACGTAAAAGGTCCTATGAAATTGAAAGTGTGACCAGACTCGGAGCCTCACACCTGTAATCCTAGTACTCTTGGAGGCTGAGACAGGAGGATCGCTTGAGGTCAGGAGTTCAAGACCAGCCTGAGCAAGAGTGAGACCCCATCTCTACAAAAAGAGATAAATTAGCGGGGCATGGTGGCACATACCTATAGTCCTAGCTACTCAGGAGGCTAAGGCATGAGGATTACTTGATCCTAGGAGTTTGAGGTTCCAGTGAGCTATAATGATGTCACTGCACTCTAGCCTCGGTGACAGAACAAGGCTCTTGTCTCCAAAAAAATAAATAAATACATAAATAAACTGAAAGTGTGACGTAACACGTGTATAATTAAACAGCGATAAATCGGAATCTAATTAGAGCTTCAATTATTCAAGTATCTGAAAATATTTTTATAGTGCATTTGTGAAAGAAATAAAGACAAATTATAAGAAGACAAGCTAATATTAGGGTTTATTTTGTGAAAATTTAGCGGTTATCCAGAGTTCCCTAGATACCTGGGTTCAACATAAAAAATGTCAGTATTTTATAACTTTAACCCCACTGTATTATCATAGATTAAATTGTTCCAATGAAACCTTAAATCATCAGGAATATTTATTATTTTAATTAGAATATTCTTAGGGAGAAAGTGAACTAATTCATTTTATTTTAGAAAGATTTTTTTTTTTTTGAGACACAGTCTCACTCTGTTGTCTGGGCTAGAGTGCCATGGCATTAGCCTAACTCACAGCAACCCAAACTCCTGGACTCAAGCAATCCTTCTGCCTCAGCCTCCCGAGTAGCTGGGACTACAGGCATGCGCCACCATGCCCGGCTAATTTTTTCTATATATTTTTAGTTGGCCAATTAATTTCTTTCTATTTTTTTAGTAGATACGGGGGTCTGGCCCTTGCTCAGGCCGGTTTCCAACTCCTCCCCTCGAGCGATCTGCCCACCTCTGCCTCCCATAGTAGAAAGATTTTCAACAAGGGCTAAAACAAAGGTTTCCTTAGTTGAACAGAAAACTCACTTAACCAGGTCATTCTATTGGGTGAAAGTATTTAGAGAAGTAGCTACATCAGAGAGAAGTTAACAAGTGATTTTGTGAGTGTTAAGGCCTGTCTTGAGTACGTGTTTTGTCTACCTAGACTTAAAAGTGAAAAATAGTCTTGTCAGGTCAGCAAGCTATTAAATTGTTTAGGGATTTGTTCTTTAAATAAAAAGTTAGTTAGTATCTGATTAATGCATACAGGTAATTACACCTGATTCTGTAGCTGCTCTTCTGCTGTTCTCTTGTGGGAAATAACACTACCACACCTGACCCATTTAACTCAAGTTGCATCTTGATATCCATCATCTTTCATTCAGATCAATTTTTAGGGTTAATGTAATAGAACAATGAATCATAACTTGTTCCAGTTCTAAATTATTCATTTTTTAAAAAATTTATCTATACAAAGTGTGTAGCGCGCCCCCCCCAAAAGAGAGAAAATCTTACAAAGAAAATGATTACATTAACCAAGAGCATAGGTCTGGTGATTGTCTTGAATGTTTTAGAAATAGTTTATTTTTATTCTGTGCAAGGGCCTTTTGGCAGCCACAAGACCCCAATGGAACTACAGTGGAGAATGGGGAGGTTGCAAATTGTGTAGTTACTTGGCTGCAGTGATAGTCCCAGCACCTTATTTCTGATCCCCAACTTACAGATTGAGGAAACAAACAGCTCAGAGAAGTTTAGAAACTTGCTTTAGAGTAATAAGTAATAAGGTAATAAGTGACCGATACAGAATTCAAATCTAGTTCTGTTGGGCTTCAGAGCCAATGTCCTTTCCATTCTACTGGAACAATAAAATTACTTATTTCATCAGTCCACTTTCTAGAGCAGTGCTGTCCAATAGAACTCTGCAATGATGGCAGAGTTGTCTATCAGCACTGCCCAATATAGTAGCCACCAGCTACATATGACTATTGAGCACCTGAAATATGACTAATAGGAGTGAGGAAGGGTTTTTTTTGTGTTTTGTTTTTTTTTTCTGAGACAAAGTCTTTTTCTCTCAACTCTGGATAGAGCCCAGTGGTATCATGATAGCTCACTGCAACCTCAAACTCCTGGGCTTAAGCGATCCTCTTGCTTGAGCCTCCCAAGTAGCTGGGACTACAGATATGTGCCTTGATGCCCAGCTAATTTTTCTATTTTTATTAGAGACGGGGTCTCACTCTTGCTCAGGCTGGTCTCGAACTCCCAAGCTCAAGCAATCCTCCCGCCTTGGCCTCCCAGAATGCTAGGATTACAAGCATGAGCCATTACGCCTGGCCTATATTTTATTTAATTCAATCCATTTGAATTATATAGCTATATGTGCTAGTGGCTACCATATTGCACAATGGAAATCCAAATCCTTACTCTAACCACCCTTTGCTGTATCATACCCAAAGCGAACAACCACTTGGGAAGCTTTGAATCAGACTTTTTTGCCTCCCATTTAGTAATCTTTTTTGAAATTTATAAATGATTTCTAGATACAAAAAATGTAGAATATATCCCTGAGGGTGGCTTTGCCATGGTAATACTCATTTGGCATGGAATTTATTTTACAGACAAGAATTCTATTCTAGGTTTTGCCATTTTACCAACTATAACCTTGGATAAATCACTTCAACCACTGATCTGACCTGTTTATCTTAAAAGAGCATAATGAATGTAAGGTCTTATCAGGCACTTACAAACATAAAATATCATAGACTGTGTCTCCATCTTGAACTCAAGCCAAATGATCTTATTAGTGAAAAAGTCATAGGGAATTGAATATTATTGAGGTTCCCTTATAACCCAGGCCTACAGTGTGCTTCTTCCTATCCCTTCTGACTAGCACCATTGATGAGCTAGAGGCTTTGTTTCACTTTACAAATATTATTTTCAAATGTTATAGGGGTCATTACTAGACAGCCTGGGTGTGATAAGTTAAATTTATATGTTAATAATGAGAAATTTTTGAGTGCACAGGTTTTTTTTTAAATCCTCAGGAGAAGCAGTTCTGCTTTGGTGAGTCATGATATAGCTTTTTATCAGAATACTGGAACACAAAGTGCCAGACTAACTAAAAACTTTGTAATAATGCAAGGATGTTTTATTTGTGTATATATGTATGAGTGAATGAATGAATGAGAGAGACAAGGTCTCCCTGTATTACCTGAGTTAGAGTGCAGTGGCATCATATCATCATAGTTCACTGCAACCTCAAACTTCTTTCAAGCAGCTCCTGCCTCAAGTGATCCTCCCATCTCAGTCTCCTGAGTAGCTGGGACTATACAGGCATATGCCACCGTGCCCAGTTAATTTTTTATTTTTTGCAGGGGCAGGATCTCACTGTGTTGCTCAAGCTAGTCTCAAAACTTCTTGCCTCAGGCAGTCTTCCTGCCCTCAGCCTCCCAAAGTGCTGGGATTACAGATATGAGCCACCATACCTGGCCGTGAGGTGGTGTTTTTTTTGTTGTTTGTTTGTTGTTTTTTTTTTTGAGACGGAGTCTCACTTTGTTGCCCAGGCTAGAGTGAGTGCCGTGGCGTCAGCCTAGCTCACA